ATTATTATTATTATTATTATTATTTAGAAAACGCACATATTTAAGACCTCTGCTGACAAAATGAGTCCCAAGGAGAGTATTTTTCAATGTGAAATTAATATTATTTTCAAATTCTCAGTCTCAAAATCTTCTAAATGATACGTATGTACAGTTTGTTGAAATTTGGTGTTTTATTACCTGGCCTGGCAGTGAGCTGGTTTTGTTTAGGGGAGTGCTTGTTTGAAAATGTGAATTTTATTGGTCTAGAAGGATGTCAGCAGGATTATAATTGAAAAAGGAGAAAACTAAAGCTTCACAGTGTCACCAAACAATATACAAAGGGATTTCCCAGAAAATAAAAATGATCAATTTCAAATCAAATTTCAACGGTTACAAAATGATTACTTCTGTCCCTGATTTTTACCTTGCTTTAAAGGTAGATTATAACGATTGTGTCAAATATTTTTTAAATTACTGTACCGCAACTGCTAGATGGTGTCTTTATGGACTCGTATGCAAATTCTAAATTTTTGCACTAAAGCCTGTGCTTATTTAGACCAATTTTGTTACCATGAGTCACATTTTGTGTTTAAAAACAGTGTTTATGTCTGTAAATATAACAATATTAATTTTTGTCCCTCACCTGAGATCCCAACATCAAGCGCCACAATCTTCTTCCTCTCTTTAACTGAACTGATGGAAGAGAACTTGTAGTCAACCAGGAAGAACAAGGTGCACTGCAGCAAGCTGGCCAGGCCCACAACCTCGCCATAGTGACACGCATACAAATTCTTGTTAAAGACACAGTTGAGGCGCTCACTRCCSGTGTTCACATAGCCTTCGTTTATGATGGAGGCAAAGACCACCAGAGAAAAGATCTGTGAATTGGAAGCGGGAGAACAAACAGACTGAATGTATGGATCAAACATAAACAACAATTAAAGGTGACAAAATTAGGTCAGAAACACAAAAATACAACTGTGGGGTTTTGGATCAGTCGGTCAAGTTAGGTGGTGATAACTTAGAGTGCCGASTTTCAAAAGTAGGGTTTTTAGTGCTAAACTGTAAACAGTGAAGATCCTTCAACATGTGTTGTGCAAAAAGTGTTTAAAAATATATGTAGATAAAATAAAAAGCTGCTGAAACCCAAATAAGAGAGAGGTGACCATCAGTCAGCAGTAAGGTTTCATACCAAGAACAATCCATCCATCCATCCATCCATCCATTCATCCATCCATCCATCTGTCCTCTCACCCATCCATCCATTCATCCATCCATCCATCCATCCATCCATCCATCCATCCATCCATCATCCATCCATCCATCTGTCCTCTCACCCATCCATCCATCCATCCATCCATCCGTCCATCCATCCACTCACCTATCCATCTGTCCATCCACCCATCCATCCATCCATCCACTCATCCATCCATCTGTCCATCCATCCATCCACTCATCCATCCATCTGTCATCCATCCATCCATCCGTCCACTCATCCATCCATCTGTCCATCCATCCATCCACTCATCTATCCATCTGTCCATCCATCCATCCATCCATCCATCCACTCATCCATCCATCTGTCCATCCATCCATCCACCCACTCATCCATCCATCTGTCATCCATCCATCCAATTAGTCATGTGAGGGGTCTGCTCATATATCACCTCTGACTCAGAGTCAGTTCCAACAGCTGTATCCTGGCCTGAGGGTGCCACACCCAGACTTCAGACCAGTGTGCTAACTCCATCATCCATTTGATCTGATTTTGTTATTATTGCAATACAGTCACATTAGCTTTAAACACATGCAATTTAATTTTGTTTCCACCACCCCCCGTTGTTGCTTAGCTACTTTTAATTTTTGTTAGTGTAACAGTAATGAGTGACAATAACTCAGTGTCTGTCTTGATAAACAGAAACATTATTTTACAGTAGCCTATAAAAACTCATCCTTCATGTGTTATCTATAGCTTCCAGGTTAAGGGGGGACAGGTCACGGGTTTGGGGCGCGCGAGCTCAAGCAGGAAAAAAAGCGTGTCTCTCACCCAGGACAGCACTCTCAGGATGGTCTGCGGCTGTTTGGCGAACGTAATCGGGTCGACAGTGGACCCGGTTCGGCCGGCTCCGTACGAACCCACTCCGTCCATCTCTCCTCGCGGACGGATGAAGAGCTGCTGCAGATGATGGGACGGGTCCTGCGCGTTCCCGAGAAGCGCGCGGACCAGCAGCGCTTGTCAAATTCAGGACTGTTCTGCTGACTGTTCTATTTTAATTGCAGGTTGAATTTATTATTATTAATTTATTTCTTTTTACGCCAAATATCATGGAAACTACTTTAAAACGAAAAATAAAATAGAAAAACTCCAATTTAAACCATATTTTAATATGGGTTTTTTGTATTATTGCATGTTGTGAAAACTCTTATCTAACTTTTTAAGGCTTTGAGAATAAAAAGCATTATAACATGGTCCATTGGTACTTAGAGGCAAATGTTCGATGTTTGTTGTGGTTATGTAATTTACTAATTTGTTATCATTTAACAAATTATCTTCTTTTGGCTGTTCCATTGTTTTGAAAACAAGCTTATAGTCTACTTAGATTTGCATTAACAAGTGTCAATATGAGATCAGGAGTCTTATCTTTTTATTTGGTGAATGCAATGCTCTTCTGTAGAATTATGTATAATTACCGGTATCTATAATTATCATACAAAAAAAAAAAAAAAAAATCAAAAATCAAAGCATCCAAAACCGACACGAACTGGAAATAGGATTACTGTTTGAACTTTTATCATTTTTCTGTAATCAAATAAAAAAGTATTTGTTCTTTAAAAGTAAAAAGCGACTTACATTAAGCCTTTCTCACAATCAATACTCTAAGAATTTGTTGAAGTGAATTCAGAGTGACAAATTTATTTACATACCACAATTTTTACATGTAAATAAACTTTTTTTTTTTGCAAATGCATCACTAATAAATCAGGAATGTATCTAGAAATGAATAAAATATTTCATTGCTATGATAACGTATCATCAGAGAGACATAGTTTAGTTTAACTTAACTTTATTAACATATTTGTAACCTGACAACAGAACAATAAAAGCAATATGAGGTCCACACAAACACTCAGTCACAGGATCCATCCTTCCAGCCATCTCTCCACCTCTCATCCACCCGAGAACAGTCGAACTCAGGCTTTCCCAGCCGGACGTTGATGTCGTTGTGAAGACAGCAGAGCCACTGGGAGAGAGCGTGGCGGCTGCTTGTGTCCGGCTGATTGTTTTTCAGTCTGTGGGGAGGAAATGGTTCATAACTGCTGGTATATTTCACCACAATTGGTAGCTTGAAATAGAGCAGGACAAAAAGAGCAACTCTGACTGGAATAAACAAAGCAGCATTTCAAAGATCTCAAACTGTGGTCGAACTAACCTGCCCCTGAGGTCTTCTGCACATTCTTCACAGGGAAAGAACTTAGAGAAAAGGTTGATAAACTGGCCCATGTCCTGCTGCTGCCTGGAGGATGGATGGTCAGGGTAATATGCTGCCATGGTGTGCAGATAGGACCAGGTGCTTCTCCCCAACTCCTCCCTGTCCAAAGGACACTCAGGATCCTGTTGCTCTGTTGCTGCAACACGTGTTTCCTGTGGGTCAAATGTCAATACACAGTGGGTCATATATCAGTAACTCAGGAATTCAAGAGGAACATGTGCCATTAAACTATAATAATAAATTAATACAAAACAAACTTAGATACAGTGTTAATGAGAATAGTTCCCTTAAAGTTTCAACTGTGTTAATCCAGTGTCACCTGTGCAGCAGCTGCCGTCGCCTGCTGTTTCTGCAGCTTCATCCACGATTTAAAGTCCGTACAGGTTCGACATGGCTTCTTCTTCACATCCCCAGCCTGCCCCTGGGCTTTACCGTCGTCCACCTGCGGTCTGCTGCTGGTCCCCGCGAAGGGGAAACCTTCAAACCCGGGCAGGTTTGCGCTTGAAGCTTCTCTGGRTCCTGTAGGCGCAGCCATCTTCGCTCCGTGTATTTACCTAATATTTCCGTCCGTCTAGGGTTTTTAATAAATATGAGGAATGTCGGCTACATAAAATGAAACTAACTACAAGTGCAGCCATGGTTATGTCATAATATTTGCTGATTTATACCATGGTTAGACGGAGCGCCTAAGTGAGACCGTCCCCCAATATGACTGGTACAATATTAGTAGCTCAGCGTTTCCTTGTTTCTACCGGACTTTTCATGAAGACGGGACAGCTTCCGGTTGGCTTTCGGTGCACGCCGCTTATTGTACCCGCTGTCAAAGTAATTTTCCTCCTCGATTTAACAACTACAACCATTGACAGTGTGCGTGTTTCATTCGGATACTAATATATCCTTATAGCATTCTCACTGACTACTTCCGTGTCTGTTTTTTCGCCGTTAAGTACCTCCGATTTGTAGGTTAGCGGGTGGCTAACAAAGCTAACAACTGAGAAGTGACACGTTTCTGCCGGATTTTCTTCTCTTCCCTCACAGAGTAGCTGCAGCCCGGTTGGATCAGCGCTATGGGTATTTTGGAGAAAATTTCGGAAATCGAGAAAGAAATTTCTCGGACACAGAAAAACAAAGGTAACGAAGGACACAGAGCCTAGCTACACAAGACAGTACTAGACAGTATGAAGCCAGCTGCAAGAGTGTGATGTTAGGTGTATTTGTGGGCTCCGAAAGTATTCTGGGAACCCAGTGCTCAGCTCCGCTTTAAGGATCTCCTTAAAGATTGAAGTTTAATGTTTGGCGTTAAACGAGAGGAGACAAGTGTGTTTTTGTGTCAACTGTTAAGAAATTACTGGAACCAAAGTCAAAGAGGACAAATTGCACATTTTTTTAAAGTCCAAGTGGAGATTTTTGTGCTTTTTAAATTAGGATTTAAATAAACTACTGCGATGATTGTTCTGATATTTCACATCTCATGTCTCACAAAACAGACGACGTCGACCCAAAAATACATCCTTTAAATATGTAACTTTCCATTAGTTATTATAATGTGTCACAACTCTTTAAGAGATGGCAACTGATGTGCAGTAAGCCAGTTGTTCATACCATCTTGTTCTTGTAACTTTTTTTTGTTGCCTAGTTTGGATGTTGACTGTGAAAAGAGAAAGTTTCTCCTCTGAGTCACAACAACAATGTATGCTTTTCATTAGCAATGAGGCAATAAAAGTCCTAGTATCCCGATGCATCTCAGTAATCCAGGTAAAAAATCAAAAAGAAAAAAATTGTATAGGTCCTCTGGACGGGTTCTTCTCTAATGAAACGTTTCGTTTCTCCTCCAAGAGACTTCTTCAGTCTGAGAGTTTCAGGCAAAATTCAGGCTTTTAAGCACTGCCTCCATGTGACTGATACTCACATCACATGGCTATCGTTGACACCTAATTAACACTTATTGTTAACAGGGGTGGAGTGATACTGGCAATGGCCGTGCTGTAGGAGGGGGACAACTGAAAACGGAGGCCTCCACCTCAGTTTAATGATGGACGGTCTAGTATTTCTCACAGGACTTCATATCACCTGTCATTTTTTTTATGTTACTGATTTTAATTAAAGTCATCTTCTGACAAAAAAGGGATGAAGATGAACAGTTTGGCCAACCATGACAATGAGGACATATTATGAATGACTCACAGCTACTACCACACCAGATTTATAGCCCACTATCTGTAAAATAGACTGAATTACAGCCGTTTTTGTCTTGGTTAAAGTTGTCCAGTTGTGGCAGCCGTTTTGAATGGGGTCAACTCAGCAAGTCAATCAGTTGCAGACGATGTACATCCATCGATTGTTATTATTTGTTTTTTAGAGTTTGATTAAAAGTTGCCCTCTAGTTTATGAGATATTTTAACGCTACAGACAAATGAACACAGACAAAAATGTAACTATCTTTCCTTTGACTGTGGGTGATAATAAATTATCTTAGCTCAAGGAAAAATCACCTATTTGAGATACATTAAAAATATAGATTATAAAAATTAAAACTTATAATAATCAGATCAACCTTTTTTTGTAATTTACTATTTTAATAACATGGTTTATTCATCAGCTGACTTCAAAATGGAGTTCAAAGCAAAGTGACCTATCTTTAGGTCTATGTGTGAGAAAGCAGCCATTTGTTCCATCAGAGTCAGATTTTCTTMTTTTATTTTTAACCCTCCAGCTACCGAGTACCATCTGGGTTTGCTGAAGGCCAAGTTAGCCAAATACAGATCTCAGCTTCTGGAGCCCTCCAAATCAGCGGGGGTCAAAGGTGAGGGCTTTGATGTGATGAAATCAGGAGACGCTCGTGTAGCGCTCATCGGCTTCCCATCAGTCGGTAAGGTAGGTGGACAACACCCCAAACAAAACAACTACAATCTAAAAAAATGTAGTTAATTAGTTTTTTCTCTGCAGTCCACATTTCTCAGCTTGATGACATCAACAGCCAGTGAAGCTGCATCGTACGAGTTCACCACCCTCACCTGCATACCTGGCGTTATAGAGGTACTTGTTTTTACTCAGAACAGATGTTTTAAACTCAGAGCTCCATTTCAAGTCTTTATTCTGTTCCTTGTTGCTCTTTAGTACAAAGGAGCCAACATCCAGTTGCTCGACCTGCCAGGAATCATTGAGGGTGCTGCCCAAGGTGCGTTTAGGCTTCGTGCTTTTGTTCTTTTGGTGTTTCAGGCTAAAGTGGGCTGACTTTGTAAATCTGTAATACGTTAATGTGATTATCTGTTGTACAAATGTAATTGAAGGGAAATTGATTCTGTTTAACACTGATTTTTAAATGTACTACACGTTTTTGTTTTTCATTGAAAGATCTAGATTATTTTATGAATAAACTGATTAATTAATGTTTAAGACCGTGTCACGGGTCGTCCTCAACAGAGTACTTGAAAGAGACAGATTAGTTAACACATCACCACTCAACACATGTGCAAGGGGTTCAGTCACTTAAGGAGGGGCTTTCCCCTATCAAGATGAAACTGAAGAAGAAGAAATTGTTTAAATATGTGTTGTGTACCAATACTCAGGTCTGTATTTTGGTCCAGCTGAAAAGTTTTGTATGGCTTTATTCTTTTGCAATTAAATGTTCAAGCCTAAATCTGAATTTGTCTCTGGGTTCGATGTTGCCTCTCAGTAAAAACAGGTTTCCTTACAAAATCCTAAAAAGACAGAATTAGTGAGCAACACTACATTTGAAGTGTTTCAGTTTAGTCATTGTCAGCATAAAGAAGCGACTGCTTTTATACCGACTTGAAATGTTTTCATAGGAAAGGGTCGAGGTCGGCAAGTCATCGCTGTGGCCAGGACGGCCGACGTCGTCATCATGATGCTGGACGCCACCAAAGGAGACGTTCAGAGGTTGGTTAGCGTGCGAGCAGTTAGAATAACTTCCAAATGCTCTCGACTGTTCTGAGTGACTCCTTACTTTTTAATTTTTCTGCCCGTTTGAAGAGAACTTCTAGAAAAAGAGTTGGAGTCAGTGGGCATCAGACTGAACAGGACAAAACCAAATATTTATTTCAAGGTASAGTTTCCATTTAGTTTTAACCTATCGATTAACTTCACACGCTTTAATGCACATCTATCAAATATATCCAAGTGACTTAATAAACTATCGTTGCAATTCTTTTTTTTTCTCTTCATGTAGCCCAAAAAAGGCGGCGGGCTCTCCTACAACTCCACAGTCCCTCTGACTCACTGCTCAGAGAAGCTCGTTCAGCTCATTCTTCATGAGTACAGTATCCTTTACGTCACAGAGGAAACCAAACAGACGATCTCTCATCCCTTCTAGCACAATAACCATACCTAACTTCTCAGCTTGGTCCACTTGTTACTGACTGACTTCTTCAAAAGTTGGTTTCTTAAACCATCTTTCAGAAATCTTCAATGCGGAAGTCCTGTTCAGAGAGGACAGCACGCCGGATGAGTTCATTGATGTCATTGTTGGAAACAGAGTTTATATGCCTTGCTTATACGTACGTCAGTGGCTACCTGCCCACACCCACTCTTTATTTATTATTACAGACCTCAGATTTTACTTTGACAAGTACAAAAGTATTTATCAGATGTCGTTGGCGTGACCAGAGAAGAAAGTGTTTCTAAGATCTCTCAACCTTTTCTGTCTTTTATCCTTTGTCCTCAGGTGTATAATAAAGTGGATCAAATCTCCATAGAGGAGGTGGACCGCCTGGCACGCAGGCCTCACAGTGTTGTCATCAGGTCAGATATCTGCGTGTGTGTGTGTGTGTGTGTAGGCATGTTTTCGCTACATCGTGGGAACCAATTTCCTGGGGATCGAATATGCCCGGTCCCCACAAGTATATATGTTAATTTCAGGTGGAGGGTTGGGTTTAGGATTAAAGTGTGAATTTAGTTTAGGTAGGTACCTTTGAGGTTAATTTCAGGGTAAATGGTCAGGGTTACGATATAAAATTGCCAAAAAAATGAATGGAAGTCAATGCACGGTCCCCACAGGGATATAAAAACAAACTTGTGTGTGAGAAGTTTTAACCTCTGCTTGCAATAAATAAACACTTCGTGTTTTCTGTCAACAGTTGTGGAATGAAGCTGAACCTGGATTACCTCCTGGAGACGCTGTGGGAATACTTGGCCCTTATTTGCCTTTATACAAAGAAAAGAGGAGGTACCCTGCTTCACCCAGTACTTATTGTCATGGACTGTTAGCAGATCTCAAAATGAATTTGGTGCTAATTTCCTCCTGTTGTGTCAGAGCGCCCGGATTTTAACGACGCCATCATCATGAGAAGAGGAGCGTCTGTGGAGCACGTGGTAAGTGTTTCTGTACACAAGCATGTATTTGGAGTATTTGCTCATAAAAATTTGTATTTGGAGTAATTTGTATGTATTTTTTTTGTCCTTTTTCCCCCTACAGTGCCACCGAATCCACCGAACTTTAGCCAGTCAGTTCAAATACGCCCTCGTATGGGTAAGTAAAGTCAAGCTTTCACTTTGAATAATAACATTTTTACATTTATGGTTTTTTGATGAAGCATTAAAGCTGAAATGACTTCTTTCACCTTAAGGTGATCTTTCTGTTTAGGTTTTTAAAAGATGTATTCTGTTAATCCAATGTTTAAGTCATAAACGGAAAAGTAGAAGCTGAAATAGGCTTTTCAACAGCACAACAACACAGCATGATGCTACCACCTCCACGCTTGACAGGAACTGTATTAACTTTTCTTTAACCATAAATGTTCCACAGAAGGCACTAGAAGGCAGCTTAAAAATTCAAATGAGTTTTTGTTTACTGTCCACTCTCTGTGTAGTTTAACTTCTCTTTGCTTTTCAAGTAACCAGTTCCAAACCATGTTGTCTTTTCAGGGAACCAGTACCAAGTACAGTCCTCAGAGAGTGGGCCTAACGCACGTGATGGAGCACGAGGACGTCATTCAGATAGTTAAGAAATAAAAGCCTCTGACTGACTGTAATATAGTAATACAGCAAAGCAAAATGCTTAACATCCTTATTTTGTATAAGAAATCTAACAGGAAATGGAAGAAACGGAAACACTTTGAGCAGATTCTGGAACAGGAAGTGTTTTTTGTCAACTGATTAAGATATGATGATTTAGAGAAGAAAACAAAAAAGAAATAAATTCCATAAAACATTTTAACTAATGTAAGTGGGTTTTTATTTCTAGCATTGTCACATTATTGTCAGAGTCACACAAACCACCTGTTGTGTTTAGTTGTTGGATCCTTGCAGCCCAGCTGTTCATCTTAACGTCTCCAATACCTGAAGGCAGGTGGACCACTTCTCCCTCCGAGTCAGTGTGCGCCCCATTGACTTGAATGCACAAACACACACAAACACACAAGCACAATAGTGGCATTAAATATTAACGAGCACCTCATCGGTCACTGAGTGGGAGGCTTCATCTGAGACGAAGAGGGGCTGTGAGCTGGACGTAAAGATGTCTTAAACATGTCCCACCAGAGAGCACCTCGGATGAAGAAGTTCTGTTTTGGAATAACCTGAAATGGAGGGAGGAGATGGAGCGTTCTGCAGCACATTAAAGGTACGGCTCACTGGGTGTGTATTGTTCGGCGCAGGCGTGACACTTGATGCTGCTTGGCTCCATATGGCGTGGCCCAGTGCGAAGCGTGTGTGTGTGTGGTCGGCTTTTTGTGCCACTTTCTTTTCCATTAATATGTTCTACAGCAGGAGTGGGTAACTTTTTATTTCCAAAAGGTCACATCAGCTTAGATAACCTGCTTAGAAGTTGACGTACATGGGTGTGAATGTCAAATTGGTTTCAAGCTTTTAATGATTCACATGTTGGAATTTATTGTGGAGTTCCTTTAATTCACACAGGCTTTAATATAAACACACAATAGGTTTTTAACCACTCTTGGCAGAACATATAAAGTTTATATGAATTGCTTGTTTTTTGGCTTGAACCCATCTTTTAGGCAAAGTCCACACATTTCCCAGTTTTTGCCAAAAGCTGGCAGACATCTTTAGTTTTCTTTTTGACACGTCTCTCTGGACTTCAAGTGTTCCGCATCTTAACTCTGCTGATCTGAGTTATTTATTTATTTGTTTATTTTTAAATTTTTTTTTGCTAATTTAACCTTTTCATGTACATTTCTATTTTCTACATAACTCAGCAAATGTGCTCATTCAATTTTTTTCCAACTATTTTTTAGTGTTTTTCTGCTTTTACAGCTTCTTTACAGCTATTTTTCTGATATTTTCAGCTTTTTCATCTATTTTACAGCTGACTCCATCTTTTTCTTGCATTCACACAGATTTTTGTAGGAAATGCAATTTCTCAAACTGATTTCATTCTGCACAAATGTGCAGCATTTTACAGACAGAGCATCTTTCATCAGAAATCACTGCTTAAAACATCCTTCTTTTAAGCAGTGATTTCTGTTATGGCAGCAATGTATTTTTTTCTGATCAGCGTTAATTAAAATTGATACTGAATTTGTTCTTATCTGACTTTAGCTAAAAGTTATTTTAAAGGTTAATAAAGTCTGAAGCATATTCCTACTATATTCTGTGACGCGTGTATCAACCAACCCTGAGCTGTGATGAACTTTATTAACTTTATTATCTGGAAAAAACATCAGATAACATAATAACAGATTACTTTTATCACAATCAGCCATAAAAATGTTTTTAAAGTCATTTGTTTATCAGCGAGTAAAGACAAAAGGCTCAGAGGATTTCTCAGCACCCTGATGTGTTTGTCTCTCCTGACCTCTACTGCTTCTTTCTGCTCATTACATGAAACAGCCGATCAGAAATGAAAATGTAATTAGATCATAAAAGCTGAGAGGAACTAGGTGACTTTCCTTCACTTATTTTAAATATTTTAATTTTAATGAATTTATTTTAAGTTACAACTGGATAAAAGCATGCTGAACCTATTTTATCAGTAACCACGACACATCCTGCCACAATAAAACATTTCTGCTTTTAGTTTCACAGATTTCGCAAGACAGGTGTTTGTGTTTCAGTAGTTTATTTACTTTTTGTGTGTCTTTTAAACAAAAGTTTTGTCATTATTGCAAAATGGGATGATGTTTGGGGAACCCAGATGTACATCCAGTGTTTGCTTTCTGAGAGGTTTGTTAAAATCCCTTTGTCATGCTGTGTTTCTCCCTGCTTTGGTTTTTCTTATGTTTCAGTGTTCCCCTGTGTGTTCTTTGTCATGCTGCCCCGCCCACACTCACCTGTTTTCCCCTGTGTCTTCTCCAGGTGTTTCTCATTTGTCCTTGTTATTTTCCCCTTTATATCCTGTGTCTTGTCATCTTGTCTTTGTCGGATCATTGTGCTGTATGTACCAACCTGAAGGTTTTCTTGTCTTGGAGTTTTTGCCAGGTCAAGTTTGTGAGTTTTTTCAGCTGCCCTGTCAGCTTTATTAAATATATTTTATTCACCTGAACCCTCCCTGTGCCCTGGGTTGACCTATCATGTCTGAACCTATGACAGGCACCTCGTTTTCGGTTTTTCTGAAAGAGGAGTTGGACGTTTTGTTTTACCACTTGACAGCGCTTCAGCCTCCCTCCTCTCTCCACTGGAGTCCACCGGTGTCACCTGAGTCCTCCGCGGTTGGTCTTCTTCCTCCTGCCCCTGAGGAGTCAGTCCCATCCTTGTCTTCCTAGGAGGAACAGGTGACACATCCCCTCATCGGAAGTTCACTGAAGATCCTCAGATGGACCTCCACTCTCGCCAGAAGAAGGCTCCTCTGCCGGCAGATCTAGGGCATTCTGGTGGGTCACCCAGATCTGCTGCTCCAGCCCTGCTACCGGCGGCTCCTCCTGCTTGCTCAGAGGGTTCTGGCCGAGCAATCATGTACCCGCCCTCCCACCCCTTCTGTGTTTCCTGTGCTGGCTGCTGCTGCTCCTGGGCTTTCGATATCTGAGCCGACTATTTCTGAAATTGAGTCATCTGGTTCGTCTGAGTCTTCAGAGTCTTCCAAGTCTACTGAGTCATCTGAGACAGTTCTAGTTCCTGAATTACCGGTTCCTGAGTTGGTGGTTCCCGTTACTGAGTTAGCTTGTCCCAAGTTGGTGGTGCTTGAGGTTCATGGGTTGGCTGCCGGCACCTCTCTTACATCTGGGTCGGCTGCCGTTGCCTCCTCTGCACCTGGGTCGTCAGCCATCGTCTCTTCGTCCCCTCTGTCACCTGCGTTTGCCATCACCTTGGCTCTGTCTCCATCAACCTCCACCGGCTCCTCATCGCCTCCAGCCTTCTCCCTTGGCTCCACGTCTGCTCCCGCCTCCTCCTATGGCTCCCTATCTGTTCCTGCTGAGCCCCATGTTGAATGGTTTCCTGGATGTTTCTCTGAATTTTTGTGTTTTGTCTTCAAGTCAGTTTATCACATATTCCCCTATCGTGCCTCTCCTTGTTGACGGCTGGAGCCGTCATTAAGGGGGAGGTACTGTCATGGTCTGTGTTTCTCCCTGCCTTGGTTTTTCTTATGTTTCAGTGTTCCCCTGTGTGTTCTCTGCCATGCTGCCCCGCCCACGCTCACCTGTTTTCCCATGTGTCATTTCCAGGTGTTTCTTGTTTGTCCTCGTTAGTTTCCCCTTTATATTCTGTGTCTTGTCATCTTGTCTTCGTCGGATCATTGTGCTGTATCTACCAACCTGAAGGTGTTCTTGCCTTGGAGTTTTTCCAGGTCACGTTTGTGAGTTTTTTCAGCTGCCCTGTCAGCTTTTGCTTTAGTAAAGATCTTTTATTCACCCAAATATCTATCTTCATGCCATTATACTCTCAACCATGTCGTACTGTTTACCTGTTTGGTCTCTTACAACAAATGAAACCTTAGAACCCATAGTTAGGCTCTACAACAGGGCCTACAAAATTCATAAAAACTTCCTGGTTGGACTCATCACTGTACAGTTCTTTCATTGTCTGATGCCTTGACCTTTCAGAATTATGTTTTGTATAGTGGTATTAATTTATATTTTCAGATCTTCCAAGGTGCCAGTTATGGAACTCTCTGTGCATTGCTGCCCAAATCAAATTCTGGAAGTAGTCGTTCAACTAGATCTGTTTACAAAAGGACAACTGATATTACCAACTTTTAAAAACTGTTACGGCCAGAGGTCTTTCTTCTATGTTTATACTAAAGCATGGAATGACATTCCTCAAAACATAAAGTCCATTTCAAAACCACAGCCCTTTAAGAAGAATCTTGTCTGCCATCTGCCGGACACTTTTTGTTGTGCTCATATTTAGACGTCCTATTTTGCAAATGCTGCCTTTTTGAATTTGGTATTCTTGTTTGTCTTGGTGTCTATGGTGTATAATGATGTGATTGTGATGCTGTAATTCTGAGTGTTTTATGTGCTGCAGAACAGGAACCTGCTGTAAAACAGCAATTATGCTGAGTCAGGCTAGATTTTTAATAATCTTCTCCTGTTAAATAAATAAATATATCAAATCAAACTCTGCCTGTGCCCTGGGTAGACCTATAATAGGCCCGGCGTGCCTAATCTGGAAGATTTGGACTTCTCCCGGTGGGCCGGACTGATTTATGGGCCGCAATGGCCGGTAAAACTTGTTAGTAATTGATCAGATCACTTATACTGCTTTCCCTGTATTACCGGCCATTTATATGATACAATGGCTTGCCATACTCCCAGTGTTGCCTCGCCTCTAATTGACAGCTCTCGTCTTTTTTTCTTTTCTTTTTTTTCTAACACGGTAGCGCACACGGTCAGTAGTATTTGAAGAGCGAGCCACGTGGAAAGAGAATGCTAAAAAGAGGAAAGCTATGGAAACTGACGAAGCTAAATGTGCTAAATTAGCAACTTTGTCAGTGATTCTTCAGGACGATGAATCGGGTAAGACAACCTGTTGAACTGTGTCTGCAAACCACCATTCAAGTTACTTAATTATCAAGTCGATAACATAACTATATAATATAAATGATTCGACACCACATAACTGGGAAACTGTCTTGTAGCTGCTTCTCAGAATCAGAACCAAGATACAGATCCATCCTGCTCCAGAGCCCACAGGTCCAGAATGGGCAGGTAGGACCCCTCATTGACCCCTCATATTAGAATTAACATAATGAGTAGTATGATGTAGACCTGCTTTATATGAAAAGTGCACAGATATGTTTCAGTACATTTCTGTAACTGAGCT